CCACCTCCATGGCCAGCCTCCAAGCGGACTCAGGGAGCTTGATTATATTTCAGAATGTCCTTGTTCTTGTTGTCTGTAACACAAAACAGCCATGTTTATAAATTCCATGGCCCAGAGGGCAGTGCCAGCAAGATTATTGTACAGAAAAGACGCAAAGAACATCACTTACCACTTGACAGTCCAATGAATGGTCAGCACGGGCTGGAATGAGCTGGGGTTTTTTGTCCTAAAAGGAAAAGCATTAACTTAGAGGGATTTTAGGAGCTCCGTTGAGATGACACTAAAAAAATATAAATGCAAGATTTGCCATTTATGGCATCTCATTCCCGCCTGCCCCCGACCTGTCCCCCCACAGGGATTCCTTCCTAGATGGTCGTGTGGCTGCGTACCTGTGTTCAGGTTGTGCAAGGCATACAGGAGATGAGTCATTTCACTGGGGCGAGACATGAGGGTGGAAGATGTGGTGAGCGCATACTGCTAGGGGCATGTGGGCCTGTGTGTGAATGGGAGAGTGAGCTCCTTGACCCTCTGGCACCTGCCTGAGTTGCACAGCAGTTTTGTATACTAACTGTGCCAGCCAGAGAGCACTCTACCTCCAAACTCAGCAGTGATCGTTCATGAAATCAGCCCTGGGGAGGCCAAGGCAGGAAGAGCACCTCAAGCTCCTGACCAGCCTGGACTATGTTGTGAGTTTAACATCAGTCTGAATTAGAATGAGACCCTGTATCCAAAGGGAGGGGAGCAAAAGGACTTTGTGGCTGCCCTCAGTTCCTCTGAATGCCTGCCCTCATCCTCACTGCCCTGACTGATGAGATCTGACAGAAAAGGACAGGACCTCTGTGTATGGTGGGCTGGAGTTCCAGCCAACAGGAGACCGCAGGAAGTAGGAAAGGCAAGAAATACACATTTTTACTGGAAATGAAAGTGTTCTGGGCCTGAGAAAATGCAGAGATCTAGGTTAGTGGTCTGAGGGTCCGAGGAAGTGACCATGAGGCTCAGGCCCGAAGGGCAGTTGGTCAGACAAGGGTAGGGCATCCCAGGGGGAGGGAAGAAGGGACGGCTAGCATGTGGGCAGGTCAGAACAGGGTCACTGCAGGCACTTGGATTTTATCCTCAGGGACCTGGGGCACCACCGATGATCCCAATAAGGGTCTGACGAGCCAGCTCTGGGATCCTGGAAGAGGTCCTTGGACAAAGGCACCAAGAAGATGTGTAGAATGGCTGTGATGAGGCTGTGACCCAGGGAGAGGAATGTGGCACATTTGCAAAGAGGGTTGTCAGAAGTGGTTCTCTGAGTGCTCACTGGCACCATCTGGTGAGACAGGGACCTCAGAGAGGGAGCAGGGTTGGTGGAGGAGAAGATGATGCATTCAAATCACATGTACACCTTGGTACCCACCTTACACCATCCAGCACAGGTATGAGGAGCACTGGTGGTGGTGCTAGTAGCCTGGGTTCGAATCCTGGCCCCGCCTCTTGCTAACTGAAGAAGGCTGGGTGGGTCTCCTCATTCTCTTGGGTGTGACCCCATCTGAAAGTTGAGGACAGTAGCCCCTCCACCAGGGGGTTGATGTGAATGGTAAACCGAAGCAAGTGCTCAGTAAATGTTTGAAGTCAGTATCACAACTGCAGACAATCATGCTATGCACGTAGGATTTGTGCAGTTTTTTGCATATACCAGACATTAACAAAACATTGGAAACAAACCAAACCAAAGGATTGTCAATTTGTAAGACTCTGGACAAATATTGTGGACATGCTGAGAACACATCGTCTCTCGCTTAAAAAAAGAGTACTCGCGGCCGTGCTACAATTACCCCAGTAGAACTGCAGGTGTTTTACATCTCCCTGTATTTCCCTCTGGCCCTCTCCGGCCTTCCCAGAAAATTCACCCGAAGAAATTCTTGCTCCCCTTCACTGCTTAGTGATCAAATGGTGACATAGTCAATGAGTTGTGTTTTGGTTTAGTTGCCGCAGTTTTCAGATTGTCACGAAAACACACAGGTGCTGGTAATTTCCCAGCAAATCGCAAAGCAGAGAAAGGAACGGAGCTGTGCACCAGCATGGGGTGCCAGCAGATTCACAGGAGGCACTGACTCGCAGTTTTCTCGAAAACCATAAATAGAGTGGAACAGCCAATTTTATAATTAACTGGGAATTGGTCTCCAGTTAAGTTTCTGCTCTGTGAAAATGGCCAAGCTGTTGCCAGGGGAGAGGCTACGTGACTTGTCTCTTCCCTGAGGCACTGGCAGACTGGAGATTTCTTTGCTGTACCACATTTGAATACATCTCTGGGTGGAACTGTCTGCAGCACACGGTAGACCTCAGTGCATGAGAGGGCAGTTGAGGGAAGTGTGGCTAGGGCTGTGGGTGAGGTACCGACAAGACGGGCCATGCACAAAAAGAGCATAGCTGGCTTTACTCAAAAATTATTAAGAATATCAAGATGGTGATAACAGAGCATAAAACCAAGTGTGTGGCCCTTTCCAGCGTAGGCTGTAGGTCCCAGAAGCTGGTCCTGCGTCCTGGACCACCCTTCAGAAATGGGAAGCTGTGTAACAACACCGATGGGGCTGCCTTAACCTAGGGCCCAATCCAGCTTTAAGGGCTCCGGGGCACAAGATCCCCCAAGAGGCCAGGCCGCGGGAGCAAAGCGAACACAGAAGAACACAACCAGAATCCACCAGAACAATTCTCTTTCAAATGCAGTTTGACCACAAGTGTCCAAATTTCACAGACCCTTTGATTGGGTTACTCTGCTTCCAGCACCCTCTTCTTACCTCTGCACAAAGGTATATGGTAATTAACACTAGAATCCTTGTTGCAGAAGGACTTGTGAAACTGACAAATGCAAACCACTCCAAAATTAGTGGATATAGAAAAATGTCACAATGAAACTATTTACAAACTATCAAAAGGGGGCTGGTGGCGGTGGTTTAACTTCCCCCCAGACAAGTATGTCAAGTAAACAGCACCATGCAGGTAAGACTGTAAGGGCCCAGACCCTCAGGAGAGTATCAAATGTCCTCTGTACTGGGATTCAAATGGGCCTGGTGGAAAAGCTGAGTTCTGGGCATGGCCGGTGTGACGAGGGTGGCTGGTTCTGTGTTGAACATGTCTGGAGAGAATTCCAGATATATGCAAGGTGATATGTAAGCATGGATAACATGATAGTAGTCATCGGGGAATTACTCATCTTCTATTTCACTGACTTACGATAAGAAAAATAGTTAAAATACATAAAAAAACAATCTCGGGCCAGGATTTAGCTCAGTGGTTCTACTGCCTGCCTCACAAGTGCAAGGACCCAAGTTCAATGCCTGGTACCAAAAAGAAAAAAAAAATAATAATCTCCAAATATTTTCTTTTCAACTGGTGAATCAGAAAGATCTTGAGAGAGACAACCACTCTGGGTCCTACACAAATGAACTTGGCGATGGTTTGGACTTCATGGTAACCCAGTGCAATTCACCTGTTTAAACTGTGCAAGTCAACAGTGTGTTGTATACTCACAGGCTTGTGCAACCATCGCCACAAACCATCTCAGAACTTTCATCGCCCCCAAAGCAACACCGTCCCCATTAGGAGTCACTTGGTGTGACTGGGCTGGGAGTAAGGTCACAGCTGCTGCACAATGGGGAGGTGGGGTGAGGATGTGGAGCGGGTAACTGCAATGCCCACCTGAGCGATGGCAGGTGGAGTCCCTGGTGTTCCATTCACCCACTGTGGTGTCCTACCTGCCCTTCCATAGAGCGCCTGACATGGAGATGCTCCCTCGATCAGCTCAAATTTTAAGATGGTTTCTAGTGCTGGGAGGGTTTGTGGCCCAGCCCAGGCAATGGCCAGAGCTTGTGGAAGAGGATGCAGTTTCCAGAACCAAGGAGCTCTGTCCCTAGCAGAGTGTATGGATTACACAAAGACAGGAGGTAGGGGTGGGAAATTTAGAGAACTGGCAGACTCAATACCTGGAAAGCCAGGTTCCTGTGGGAAGATTACCTGTTTCTATCAATTTCACATTTCTAACAGTGTTTAGGTTGTTTGCTATGCTATTGCATGAAAGTTCCTTGTCACAGATTCTTGTGGATACACTCCTTCTGTCTCCCAAGAACATATTTTAAATCTGAAAGGCTAATTCATTATCTTCCCTGTTTGCTGGCATTTATCCAACATTTTTCCATCCTTCTACATTTAACCTTTACCATTTTGAATTATGTACTTTTTTAAAGTTGCATATGGATGGGTTTTGTTTTTTTTTTAACCCAAATTGAATGTCCTTTTCCAACAGGGAAATTCAAACCATCTATGTTCTTTTTTCTTTTGGTCTATTTCCAGATGGAATAGAGAGATCAAGAATCTTAACAGGGATGGATATTGAGCTCAGATATCCATGGAACTTGCAGAATATACTTTTCTCATATTTGTGCAACCTCAGAATACATTCCTCCTCCCTCTTGTCTACCAAGAGAAGCTAATGATCTGATGGCTGATGTGTGTCCGGGTCATTGTGGATACCAGTCTGGTATTTTGGGCATTATTACCAACTCAAACATTTCTCAAGGATTCTGGTCAGCAGCATAGAGATGTAATCTCCAATCTCATTTGAAGCCCTGGGCTGTCATTTATCTGGACGGTGAATCTTGCTCTGTCTTATCCTGGAAATACGTGATTGCACAGAGTGGACGTTCATTTAAAGCAGCTTAGAAGGAAGAGGGCAGATGCAGAATTTGGGGCTCTCAGGATAAACCACACAGCCTGAGTCATAAGACACTGCATCCAGGACCCAGAAATTACTCTGTTTTCCTCTCTCCATAGCTACAGAGGGAACTTCTCCTCTCTGCTCCCCAAGGAAAACTGGCCCCTCCAGCCCCACCTCTCCACACAGTGCCTGGCACTGCCCCACTCACACTCTCGACTAGATTGGCTCATTTTCTGGGCGCACCCAGTGGCCTCCTACTTTGCTCTGGGCAGATCTGGCTGGGGAGGGGAGGGAATGAGGGGTCATGAGTTATAAACAGGAAAACCAGGACCGTGGCTGTGGGATTCACGAGTAAGGAGGTGGGTGGAGGGCGATACAGACATTTCAGGTATAAATTCAATGTGGTCAGTTAAGCACTGCCCTGGGATTTTGTCACCCATCTGGTGTCCCACACCCTCGCAGAAGTGCTCTCTTCCCCACAGTGTGTCAGAGGCTGCTGGCCTAGTGGAAGGTGAAAGAGGCAGAGTGGCTTGGCCCCTTCTCTGTTTTGGGCAGCAGCATTGCTTGTTGCCAAGGATCCTAGAGGACTATGGGTCCTCGGTCATTTTCCTGAGATAGCTACGTGTCTGTCATTGCTGAGGGACATGCAGGGGATACCTGCCAAGCCCCCAGAGACCCAGGCTAGCTTCTGGACTGGGACAGCTTGGCCTGACCTCCCTCCTTCCTGCTAGCTACAACCCAGGCCCAGTAAATCCACCTCAGCAGAGGGGTCCCCTGAAGCCACACCCAGCTGTCCTGGGTGGTGAGCTTATCCCCAGATGGCTTCCAGATGGAGGAGGAGTGGATCCAATGGGGGGAGGAGCTGAAGTGAGAGGATGGGGGGGTCAGCTCCTCAAGCGTCAGAGGCCCCAGCCCGGCCTACAGGGCAGGTGGGAGGGTCTTATGCCAGCAAGAAAGATGTGACAGGTTCCTGACATGAGCTGGAACATGAAAAGGTGTCCTCTCTTGCCTGGACTCTTCCAGTATGCTCTTTGTGGTCTCCGTGCTTTAACCCCGTTCCCTAACATCTGAAGTAAACAATTCAGTCAAAATGACCGGGGCCGGTGACTTAGCTCACCTGCCTGCAGCGCAAGGTTCCAAGTTTGATCCCTGGTACCCCCTCCATTACCTTTTAATAAGGTAAATTAGATTATGTAATCCCTGAGAGTAAGTCATTCAGGAAATGTTTACTGAGCACCTCTTATGTGTCAAGCACTATTTATACACTGGGGCTACAACAGGGACTGCAAAGCAGTCTCTTCTCAGTGAACTTACCTTCCTGGTGGGATTCTGAGATGCATGAAACCCCAGATGTCGTCCCATCTCCCTCAGAGTAAGAGACAGCCATGTGTCCCTGTAACTAGCCCCCTTAAACTTAGCACAGAGCAACACTAAGTGGCTGTTGATACTGCGATTATATCTCACACTTCTGGGGTTGACTGGGCTCAGCCAGGCAGTTCTTGCTCAGATGTCTCCCAGAGTGACAACCCAGGACGGTGGGATGGGAATTGTCTCAAAGGATTTCTCACCCACGTCTGTGGTCATGGCCACCACCTGAGCTTGTCACTGCACTTCTGCCCCTCGACCTCCTTGCTGTTCCTTGACCATGAAAGCACATTCCTGCCTCAGGCCTTACTGCCCACTGGAAGGCTCTGCACCGAGGCATCTGCAGGGCCTATGCTCTCCCATCACTGTGCTCCTGGCACCTCGTCAGGAGGAGTACCAGCCATTTCCCTCTGTAAGATGGTGTCCCTGTCTGCTTAACTCTCTCTCTAGTCCCTCACATGATTTCACTCACTGTCAGAGCAATTTTCATGCCCTAATTGTAGCATGTGTTTCTTTGTGTGTTGTCTGTGTCCCCATCAGACCACACTTCCCATGAGGCCAGGCCCTGATCAGCCTTTTTCTCCTCTGTGTGCTCAGGGTTGGGAACAGAGCTGAGTATGTGCCTATTTGGGAATCGAGGGATGAATAGGGCATCCATGTGGAAACCTGCAGCTTCGCTGGCCCAACTGACCACATGAGATTTGCAGGATTCCTGAAGGCTGATGGCCTTATAGTGACTCCAACACTTGCTAATCCCTGGCATGGCTGCTGGTGGTTTAGGAGATGCTAACTGTCTGTTCCCTGTCCTGGCCAGCAATCTAATTCCAACCAAACACAGGGACTAGGATCAGAGTGGAACAGGAGAAACCTCCTTGGATACCTAAATCATCACAGGGGCATGTTTAGACTCCCAGGGCAGGGCAGCCAAGGATGCTGGGAATTCGTTTTTCCCATTAGATAAGACAGCTGGCAAGTGGAGGACTCTGAGTCCTCCATTTATGGTGGGGATGTTGTTTTCTTTTAAAATAGATTAAAGTAATAAGGGTGGCCCATAATTAGGGGTAAATATTTGGTAAATGACTGTACAGTGGTTACTGGATCCAGATAAGCATTACAAAGGAGTAGGTAACAGTCGGAATTACAGGCTGGGGAAGGTGGCCCAGACGAGTGAAGAAAAGTCCTGTCGTCATGGTGGAAACAGAGCCGCCAAGCCTGGATGGAGCCCCAGAGTGAGAGGTGGAGCCCCAGAAGGAGTGGTGGTGTCACAAACTGAGGGCAAACAAGAGGAGGCCTCTAAAGGGGACACCGAGTGTCCACTCGCACACTGCGTGGCAGGGCCCCTGTGACTCTGCAGCAGCCTCTGCCAGATTCGGGAGGGGAAGGGAGCTCGTTGCTATGTTCCAGGATCAGAGCACACAGGCTCTTCCTCAGCTGCCTCTGTTTCTGAGGGCTTTGAATGTGACAGGTTTAGGGTGGGAGACTGGCTAATGCACCAATACCCCAGCAACTAGATGCCGTGCAACTCTTCTCCCCGTGGAGAGTTTGGCCAGTGTTAACTGGCCTCCTGTTGGCAAAAGAGAAAGCAAAATGGGAGTGGCTGGAGGACACAGCCTGTCAAGCCTCCTTGGTGAGCTGGGCTTGGTCAGGGGCTCCTGTCTACCCCGACACACACACAGGTGGCTGTCATGTGCCACCGGCTGGACAGCTGTGCCTACTTAGCCTAAAGATAACACACATCACCTATCAGAGTTGTCAGGGACATTTTGAGGCCTTCAGTTCCGAGGTGGGTGGCATAAGGGTCACTGCAAGCCCTGTCTCCCGAGGTTGCCGTGAAGCCACCACAGCCTGAGAGATGGAGTGATTCTGCTGTGGTTCTGTGTGTTTGCACACATGTGTCTCCCTGCATGTCACCGTGTCCCCGTGTTGCATGTAGGTTTTTGTCTGTTGTGCGTGCAGATGTATCGGTGCCTCTTGCCACTGTGTGTCTTTAGGTGGCCTGAAAGCATAGGTTCTCTGTACATGACTATCAGTAAGATCGTAATACTTTTTAGCACCACTTGTATATCATGCTGGCACTTGAAGCCTGACAGGTATGGGCATCTTCCTTCTTGGAGTAGATTTGAAGTGGCATAAAGTGATTAAAATGAGAAGCTTTACAGCCAGAAATCCCAGGATGCCATAGCTCTACTGGCTTAGCTACTATGAATCTTGGGTAAGTAACTTAGCCTCTCTGAGCTTCACCTGCTCCTTCAGTGGGGAAGAGGTTGTGAATGGCTCCTGTCTCCCACGGTTGAGTATCACCAGTTTCCCACAGGACCAAATGGACATCATCTGTAATCTGCTTAGAAAGTTATATTTAGAAAATGGGGTCTTGGGAATGAAGTGGATCCAGCTCGGTTCTGCGGCTTCTAAGGTTTCTCCAGGTATGTGGCCTTTATTCTCCTGGTCCCTGGGAGTCCTCTAGGCTGTACAAAGTGAAATAAGAGAATGCACACACCTCTGAGCATTTCCCTTTTCCTACTGGTTCCTTCCCCCTCCTGCTTGAGGGCCGTAGGAAGGAATCCTGAGTTGACTAGTTGGGCTGGGCCCTTAAGTGAACTATTACCCTTAAGCCTATGGACATCAGTCCAGAAAAATCTGTAGCTGGGAAGCCACTTCCTAGGCAATGGTCCTCAGCTAGGAAATCAGTTCCAGGACAGTGGGCCCAGGTCCTAAGTCTAATGTTAAGTGAAACAAATCAGATACAGAAGCTTCAATATCACACGGTTTCTCTTATATGACAAACCCAAAGTATAAATAAAAAGTTAAATAAAAGACAGATAATAGGAAACATTGTGATAGGTCTTTTGCAAATGGGAAGGGGACCAAGAGATGGAGGAAGGGGAGGGGAAGGGGACATAAGGAGAATTAAGATGGGTTATGTACATGTACCAACTACCCATGATAAATGTAATCATTATGTGCTACAAACATGTACTAATCAAAATAAATATTTAAAAAAAGAATCACCAGGCCAGGGATTTAGCTCTGTGGTTCCACCGCCTACCTCGCAAGCACAAGGACCCAAGTTCCATCCTGGGACTGGAAAAAAATAACCCACAAAAACTTGCTTCCTGTTAGCAAAATCTTTTGATTCCCCAGGAGTAGTGGAGCCTGGAGGGGCTGAAGGAGCAGGCTGGGAAGGAAGAGGGCTTCCACGTGGACTCTGCCTACTCAGAACATGATGCAGGGTTCCTGCAGAGACCCAGGTTGTCCCCTAGGGGCATCGGTACCCTAGCAAGGGTTCCCTGCCAGTGAGAACTATCCCGAAAAGTTGCCAGCACAGCCTGTCCCCTTCCCCTCACACCTTCCACGCTGCCAGGCATCCAGAAAAAAAAAAAAAAAAAATTGCCGAGCCATTTATTTAATTGGTACCACAAATAGTAACTAAGAGACTGCTGGGTGTGGGGGGCTGGGGAACAGGGCGCTTACCATCTCATAGTACAGTATTTTCACTGGTGCTCTTGGCCTTTAATCATCCCTCCTCCAGAAAACTGAGAACTGTCCACCAAGAGTTTTCCTAGTTATTTTTAAAATTAATTTTGGTGCCTGGTGTGTGAGAGACCCAATCCTTTCGTTTTCAGTGTTTCTCCTCTTAAACATTCAATTATCCCGGCTATGATGTACTATGAGGTAATCATTTATTCTTAGGTATTTAAGATTGACGTATAATCCATTACAGTGCCTAGAGATTTACCGTGAACAGCCTGATGCGGTACCTGTGTAGCTACCATCCAGATCAGGCTATAGAAATGTCCGCCTCCCTGAAGCCTCCCCTATGCCCTTCCAGAAACTCCCCACCCCACCCCGTCCAGGGTAACCTGCATTCTGACTTCTCTCCTGGGGTGTAGTCTTTCACAGGTCCAGCTGTTACTGAGGGCAGAGTCTCCTCACTGACTACTTTGCGGTGTGGTTGGATAATCCTGTAACACTCCACTGAGGGCTGCCTGGCTCTGGGCATTGCTCCCAGAGTCCCCATGCCCCTGCTTTTAGCCTGGTCTCTCCGCAAGACATGGATGCTATCTTTGAAACCCCACTAGAAGATAGAAAAAAGAGAAGCAAAGCAAGGTGACAGAGCTGGTTGACATGGAGGCTAGAACTGGGGTCCCACTGACCACTGTGCTCTACTGCTCAGGAAACTTGTGTCACTCTCACAATAACTTCTCTTCCAGTACAGCAGTGGTTTAACTGGGGATTTAGCGCAGTGGTTCTGCCACCTGACTTGCAAGTACAAGGATGTGAGTTCGATCCCTGGTACAAAAAAAAAAATGTTTTAATTCATTCACGTGGAGTTTTGCTTTAAAACTTTTTATTTTGAAACGTTTAGTTCCATAAGAAATTACAAACAAGACTGTGGAGTTCTTGGGTCACTTAGTGTTCACTTCGCTTCGCGCAGTGACGATATCCCTACATAATCATAGTCCATCAGATATGATTTTTAAATAATGAGTCCCTACTCCTAAAAACTCAGAGATAATTAGTGCTCAGGAGTAGCTGGCCTTCTTCCTTCATTTTAAGTCCATCAGATGATTTTTAAATAATGAGTCCCTACTCCTAAAAACTCAGAGATAATTAGTGCTCAGGAGTAGCTGGCCTTCTTCCTTCATTTTCTCCCATTAAATATTGATCATGACTCTTAATCGTGCTAATCACACGTTAACCTTTGAGCACAGATGCACGTACTTTACAAGTATTCTACAAATGATTTATTTTCATACAGTTATGTTGATGGTAACCATGTGAATAAATAAAAAGTAGGAATAAGGTAATTGTATTGGTGCTTACAAGAGCTTGCAGGCCTGGGACAGGGCTCCTCAAAAGCCTGCACATGCTCTGAATCCGATTTAATACAGGACACAGGAATTTACAAGATTGGCCTACCGTGGCTGCCCACAGAGCCAGATGTAGAAGAGTGTAAAGATCTGTCCTTGCACTAGAGATCCGAAGAATCCAGCAGAAGGCCTGGAGCCCACAGCAATGTCCAGTAGGAGTCTGCTTCGGGAGGCTGAAGGATCTGGGACAGAAAACCAAGGGGTCTGCACCAGGGGGTCAAAGGGTCGGCACTGAGAGCTAAAGAGTCTGTGCAGAAAGCCAGGAGGTAATGCCTAAGGCAAAGGCAAAAATGGGAGCGCCTCTGAGGAAAATGGTCCACAATGATGCTCTCCCAGTGAAAATCAGCTGAAATCCCATCCTCCTGTTCTCCTTTTTATACCATTCCCACAACAACCCTTAAAGTGGATCTTCCACTCCCAGAACCATGCTGACTCAGCTCAGCTGGGCATTCCCACTCAAGTTCACAATTAACCACTACAGTAATAATTATCAAGTTCACACTGTTTATGTGCCAGGCACTGTGTTGTGCATACTTTATAGAATGTACGTCCCCAACAGTCTAGTGAGGTTGTATTGTCAGCTTTCCACCACTATAATGGAACACCAGAGGCAGTAACTCACAAGGAGAAAAGGTTTATCTTGGTTTATGGTTCTGGAGTGTCAGGACAAGATCAGGCAGTCCCATTGCTCTAACCCGTCAGAGCAAACTACTCACCAACAAGCCAGAAAGCAAGAGAAACAAGAAGGGGCTAGGGTGACAAGTCCCCATCAAGGGCACACCCCAGTGACCCAAGGACTCCCACCACTCCCGATAGCACCATCCTAGGACCCAAGCCTTTAATGCATGGACCTTATGGGGACATTTGACACCCAAAATACAGCAGAAGTACTCCAGTTCCCCTTTGGAAGATTATTCTTATTTTACAGATGAGAAAACTGACACCCAGACAGGCAGAACTGTTTGCCTAAACTCGTAAGTAGAGTCAGGATTGACTCCAGGAAGTGTGACTCCATGCACCAAATACTAGGCTAGATTTTAGTCACAGGATTACTAAATACAACCATAGACCATTTCCTTTTCCTCTTAACACTCTAATAGGGCACTGGGGGATCATCTGGTCAAGTTGTCCGCCCAACGCTGGACAAATCTTGCTTTCTGTTTTCACCTTGGCTACAGAATGCCTGGAGTTGCCTGCGATCCCAAATGTGGCCTCTAGGTGGCACAGTTGAGGACCTTTTGTTTTTGTTTTTGTTTTTGTTTCGATACTTTCCAGTTTCTCAGAATAAGAAAGGAGCACACTAGAGCCATGAGTAGCTTGGCCAAGGGTGGGGATAAATGGGGTGAGGGAGAGGAACAAGAAGAGGAGCTATGATATGAAGCCCATAGGGTGACCCTTGTCCTCCAGGCCCTCTTCTATTGCAGGTAGTAAAAACAACTTTCATTTCCTGGAGCTTCGCTGTGTCCGTGGCACCCTCTGCTAAGCACTTCGCTCCCATAAGCTACTTTTGCACTCAGCGACCCCTGGGAGGTGGGGACTGCTTATTATTACAAGTGAGAAAATCAAGGCTCCAAATGTCACCGGCTGGGCAGGGGCAGAGCCTGGCCTTGAGCCTAGGATGGGGCCCTGACCAGCTTTCATCCACGATGCTCTTCTTCCTGCCTAAACTCGCGGAGGGATGGAGCGCAGAACGTATCGTGCACTCGGGGACGCACTGCCTTCACTTCGATCCCTAGAGGTCTAGAATCCCCCAAGGCAGACGTGGTGTGGCAAGGACAGACCTGTCTTCACGGCACACTAAGATCATCCCTTCTGGGGCTCTCATGCAGCTGCCCAGGCTCGATGACCTCCTTGGCATGGAGCGGAAGAGGAGCAAGGTGTGAGGTGGCCCGCAGCAGGGAAGCAGCCCCAGCAAAGAGGACTCTGCTGCCACCTATGGTCCCGGCGTCATTAAGACTATTGCATGCGCTCTGCCACCAAACACACTTAACTTCTAAATTTTGCAGGCTGTGTATCTTTTTCTGCCTATGAAAACAATTCCGTGCTTCTTCTACGCTAGTCTCGCTTGGGAAATCGAGTAAAATACAAAAATGAAACATGTAATTCAGATATAAGCACGGTGACCTCTTAGTGTCTCATCTTCCCTGTAAGCGTGTGTGGGGATATCTCCCCCCCTCCACTTGATGGTATAGAATCAGAGACGTTTCTCAGTTACTGCACCTTTCAGCATTGTCACAGCAATGTTACATAACAAACCCCCAGGCTCTTCTCTTAATCACTCTTGCCGCCTACGCTCATGTTTGTGGGGGAGCCGGGGTTGCGCGGCAGATCTAGGCTGCGCCGCGCTCCAAGCTGTTGGCTGAGTCTACACCCGCTTCACCGGTCTCTCATCCTCGGAGACAGCAGCAGCGTGGGACCCCTGGGAGTGTGTTCTCCTGGCGATGGCAGAGCGCGGAGGGTAAATGCTGCCACCCAACACACGTCAAGCCCCTGCTTGTATCGTGTAGGTCAGCGTGCTGTTGGCTGTGGCTCCTCACATCGCTGAAAACAGGGCAAGGGGTCGGAGGTACAGCCTGCTCCTCCACTGGGGAGGCGGCAAAAAGTGTGGATTCAGGAAGGGTAAAGAACTTGGAGCAAACTGTACCCTTTACCACCACTATTAAGATTCTTTTAAGACAGTTTTTAACTATTTTTCTTCTTAGGTATATATTCTAATAAAATCAACAGTTTCCCCATTCATGGTCATTTGTATGGAAATTCATGGTTTTCTCTATTACAAAACACAGTCACTATTGCCATACCCAAACCTTGTTTGTTTGTTTGTTTGAGACAGGGTCTCACTATGTAGTTCAGGCTCACCTTGAACTCACTGTGTAGCCCATGCTGGCCTCGAATTTACAGTGATCCTCCTGCCTCAGCCTCCCTGACTGTACCACCACCCCTGGCTATCCCTAAACCTTTGACTGCATCTTAGATTAGTATAAAATATACTCATTAGCTAAGCTGTTGATATATATTGCCCTTCAATAGTTGTAGGGCTGGAGATGTAGCTCATTGACGCTGTGCCTGCCTGGCAAGCGCAAGGTCCTGAGTTTGAGCCCCAGCACACACACACACACACACGCACACACACAATTGTGAAAGCGCTCATTTCACTAAGTCATTATCAGCATTGTGCATTGTAATTTTTTTGGTTTATTTCTTTAAGACAAGGAAATGGTGCATAAGAAAGAGCAGGAGAGGGGCCTAGCAGAGAAGGAGAGGGAAGGAAATTGTAGAGGACTTGTGGAAGGAGGTGTTTGCCAGGGAAGACCTCAGGCCAGGATGGCTGAGAAGACCTGGAGAAGACCTTCCTTAGGAACCTGTCCCTCCCGAGCAAAGCAAGACGCTCTACCTGGACTGCCACGACCTGTGGTATCTGGCGCTCCCTGGGTGGCAGCCCGCTGTCCTTTCATTATCCAGCTGAGGGGTCTGCCCGGTGGCAAATGCACCATGTGCATCATTGCTTAGGCAGGAAGTTCTGCTAGAGCTACGAGGAGAAGTCTGAGGTTGGAGAGCTCAGTCCTTGGGAAGCGGGAGGCGTTTGAGTCTAGTCACCCTGCAGGTCTTATGGGTAGAAGCCCAACCATCACGGCAGGCAGAGCCGTACCTTCTGCTCTCTTGACTTCCTACAGACACCTGCCTTTTCAGGGTGCCCCTCACCAGCCTGCTAGAAGCTGGCCGCCAAGTCCTCCCTAGCTCCCAGGTCCCGCTGGTCCTGGAAGCTCTAAATTGTTCCCCACTTAGGCTTACTTAGCTATTGAGAAGCTGGCCTAGGGTGCCCCTCAGAGATATCTACACAGGGCTAAGGGCCTCGGCATTAAAGCAACAGAGACCTGGGTTCAAATTCTGCCTCTGGCACCTCCTACCTCCAAGATTTGGGGTGCAGTTTGAACCTCCATGAGTCTCCCTTTCAGCATCTGTAATGCTAACTACAGCCTTCTCCTTACTGATTAAGTGAGAGAATGCACATGAAGCTCTCAGGACAATACCTGACTCTCAGAAATGGTCAAGAAATCTCTGTTATTATTTTGAAAGAAAAGAGTCCAGCGGCTTCTTCTTCCTGCTTCTCATGGGGGACAAACACACCAGTTTCAATCCCACTTTGCACAGTCGCTTGTTTAAATGTGGGTTTCTTTGTCTGGTAGCTGCTGTCCTGTTGGAAAAGACGCTGGACGTGGAAGATGTTCTCAGGGTGCCTGAGTCCCAGGGCAGGGTCAAAGGTCCCACCACCCCCACATCACCGGGGCTGCGTTATCTCCCTGCACCCCAGAGTGTGTGTTACACTGGGAAAGAATTCAGCTCCTAGAGTGGTGTTCTGTTTGTGGTCTCCACCTCGTTGTAGGATTCCAGGAGGGTTGGAAAGGATGGAGTGGCATTTGGACTGTTTCCAAGATTTAGCTATTACACTGTGCCTCTATAAACATGGGTGCACATGTATCACTATGATATGATTGTTTTAATTCTTTTGGGAAGATACCCAGCAGAGGAATAGCTGGGTCAAATGGGACCTCTAACCTTAGTTGTGTGAGGTATCTCCATATTGATTTCCACAGTGGTTGCACCAGTCTGCACTCCCACCAACAATGAAGGAAGGTTTCCTATCTCCCCACAAGCCCACCAGCATTTCTTATTGGTTTATTTCTTTTTTCCCCCATTAAGTTTATCAGAATATTTAAGGCAAACAATGCAGTTACATTCATCATTGAGATCTTGTACCTTTATATGATATACCCTGGTTATTATTTTTCCCCATTCCCCCGCCTTCCCTTTACCCCCACCATGCCTTCCTATTTACAAAGACTTTGTTTCTGTTTTTTCCTTATCTGATATTTATTCCTTTCCTGTCTTTTCTTTCTCCTCCTAACCCTCCGACTTCCCCTTCCCTTTTGGGACTTATCATCCTATTGCACATTATCTATTATATATTTTGATCCTTATTTGCACTTTCAATTTCTCACACCAGAGAAACTATTCAGTATTTACACGGGTGTCCTATTTATTTCACTTAAGAGCATGGCCTCAATGTGCATCCATTTAGCTGTAAGTGTCTCTAAGTTTCTCATTCTTTATGGCTGAGTAGCACTCCATTTTATTTAAAAACCCCACATCTTCTTTATCCAGTCTCCAGTTGATGGGCAATTGGGCTGTTTCCAAGTGATAGCTATTACAAACTGTGCTGCTACAAACATGGGTGCACATATAGTGCTGTGGTATTCTTTCAATTCTTTTGGGAAGATACACAGCAGGGGGATAGCTGGGTCAAATGGGACCTCTAGTCCTAGTTTTTTGAGGTATCTCCATATTGATTTCCACAGTGGTTGCACCAGTCTGCACTCCCACAAACAATGGAGAAAGGTTCCTTTCTCCCCACAACCCCACCAGCATTTGTTATTGGTTGATTTTTTTGATAGCAGCCATTCCTTCTGGGGTGAGGTGGAATCTCAGTGTTGTTTTCATCTGCATCTCTTGAATGACCAATGATGTTGAACATTTTTTCATATATTTACTTGCTGCTTTTACTTCTTTAGGGTCTGAGAAATGTCTGTTCATTTCAGATGCCCATTTTTGAATTGGGTTTTCATTTGGGGGCGTCTAATTTTTTTTTTTTAGTTTTTTTATATATTCTACATAGTAGACTTTTGTCTGAGGAACAGCTGGTAAAATTTTTTCCCACATTGTGGGTTGTCTCTTAGCTCTGCTTGTGATTTCTCTGGCAGTACAGAAGTTTTTTTAAAAGATGAGATCCCAGTTGATTCTTTGTGCTAGTTCCTGTGCTATTGAGGATTTGTTCATAAAGTCTTCCTATATTGATATCTTTAAGAGTTGTACCTAACTTACCTTCTAGCAAGTTTAGAGTTTCTGTTTTAGTATTTATATTTTTAATCCATTTGGGTTTTAGTTTAATGCATGGTGAAAGATACGGGTCTAGTTTCAATCTTTGACAAGTTGAAAGCCAGTTTTTCCAACACCATTTATTAAAGAGGCTATCTTTCTTCCAGTGAGGATGGTTGGCTCCTTTTTCAAAGATGAGGTAGCTGAGTATGTCAGGAGTTATTTCTGCATCTTCTAATACGTTCCACTGATCCTCAGGTCTGTTTCTTTGTCAGTACCATGCTGTTTTTATCACCATGGCTTTGTAGTATAGTTTCAAGTTAGGGATGGTGATACCCTCTGCCATGTCTCTGTTGCCTAGAATTGCTTTTGCTGTTCTAGGTCTCTTCTGGTTCCAAATTTCTGGATTCTTTTCTCTGATTCTGTGAAATATACTGTTGGGATTTTAACAGGGACTGCATTGAATCTGTATAGCAGTCTTGGAAGTATGGTCATTTTCACTATACTGATTTTTCCTACCCAGGAGTAGGGGATGTCTTTCCATTCTCTTATATCCTCTTCAATCTCTTTTTCAGGATGTTATAGTTCTCAATGTAGAGGTTAGGGTTTTTCTGCTATGTATACTTTTAATAGAGTTTTTGATCTCCTAGATATCAGTTTGAATCTGTTTCATGGATTCCATTTCTTTCCCATGTTGGGTGTTCATGATTTCCATTGCTTTCCTATGCTGATCATTCTGCCTTCCATCATGGTCCTGAGTTCATCTATTTTTTTTTAATCTGTTTCTGTTCTAGAGTCTCTAATCATGACTTTTATTCTGCTCATCATCTCTGTAGTCATCTGGGAAATTATTTTTGTTTTGTATATTTCTAGAGCCTCATTCACTTTTTTTTTTTTTTTTTTTTTTTTTTTTTTTTTTTTTACTTCCTGTGCTATTGGTTCAGGTAGTCCGGGTGGTTGATTACCAGACTTTTCCATCTCATTTCCCCCAGAATTTGCCTTTGGTAAGCCGGAAGACTGAGTCTTGTTTAAATGTCTTTTCATTTCTATTATTGTTGTTGGTACCGTCCTTGGGTTAATTCCTGGGTTGATACTTTGATATTACTTATTGCAAATATCTTTGTCCCTTAAGGAATGATTGCTTCTCAGAGGTGTCTTCCGGATATAGCTGGTCTTTAGGATTTGAGTCTCTAATAACTATGGGGCAATCTTATTTTCATTATACCAGGAAAGTTAACTGATTAGATCAATCACAGCACTAGCCTAGAGATCTTGACCCCAGGTGTGGGATAGCTTTCCCTTCTCAATCCTTTAACCACAAAGGGCTCCATGAGACTGTCCAGAACAGGTGAGCTACTATCCCCCACCTCCTGGGGAAGATGTGCAGGCTGGACATCTGACCGTGGGCACCAGCTCTCAGATGGCAGACCCGGGTGTGTATGTGCACATGTGCATGTATTTGCTTTTTATTTACAAAGTGAGCTCAGTGAGCCTTTTGAACTGTACTGGTTGGGGCTGTCTGAGCCAGCATTAGCCATGGAACAGTGCCCAGCCTTGTGATACAAGGGTTCCTGGACATCCCCACTCTGAATTTCCCCAGCCCAAGGAAGGAGCATCCTTGAACTCCTGGAGACTAAGACCCCGCCTCTTCCACATGCACCCCTGACCCCGAAGGAGCAGCTGCAGGTGCTGCCCTGCTCATCCTCCTCCTAGAACCCAGCTGAAACATCTTGAAATTAAGAGTCACCCCTACCGTGTCAGCCCACAACCGTAGCAATGGCTCTGAAGGTGCTTGCTCATTCATTCAACAACCATGCCGGCTGTGGTGTGCAGTGACCAGTGCAAGCCTTTCCTAAGACTTCCTACAGGAGACAAAGGAGCTGGCAAGAGCAATACCTCCAGAGTGGGTAGGGCAGAGCACAGGTGCCACAAGGTGCTGGCAAGGCTTGTATTCTCCTTGTATTCCAAGGAGAGGGCTCTAAGTACAAATAAGCTGGCTGAGTGCAGAAGTGATGGAACAAGTTTCCGATTCTTTCCAGAGAATGTCACAGGGCCTCCGATAGGCTGAGACCTGGGGACACTCTGTGTGGTTGGAGTGTGCAGCACTTTCCTAACTCAGCTGGTCGTGGACCCCTTTGTTGTGGGAAGCATTGCACGGTGCTGGTGTGCTGGGGAAAGCCAGTCTGGGAAGTACTTCTGCTGGGCATTCACTCTGCTTCTTGTGAAAGCAGATGCTTGGGGCTGGGGCTCAGCTCCCTGCACCCACCCTCCTGGCTGCGCTTGGGTCAGATTGGCACTGTGCCTGCAGGTGAGCCTTTGAGGAGGCCTGAACTTTTTCTTGGAGTTTCTGCTTCCTTCTCAGTAACAGAACAATAGAGCACCTGGTCTGATTGTTTTGGAAATTATAGGAGCTAACACATGAGAAATCATAGAGCAGAAGATGTGGTTCTCTGCAGGTGCTCAGTATACGTATTTGCTCCCTCATTTCCTTCCTCCTTCCTGCCTTCTTCCCCCATCCCTTCCGTCTACCACACTTGTCATTTCCTCCTTTCTATTTCTCTCTTCCTTTCTCTACCCACCTATCAATCCATCCACCCCCATCCATCTTCCCAGCCTTCCATTCCCTTTCCTCTTTCTCCATTTCTGATTAATGGCTGCCATGGGTCGATCAGTTTTCCTCCACCCTGCCCTTCCACATGCTATTTCTGCCTCGGAGCCAACCAACCATGTACCGAACCCACAAAAATGGGAGCAAAATAAGCCTCTCCTGCTTTAAGATGTTTTGTCCCCTGAATGATGGAAAAATTTACTACATTTTCCTTCCCTTCTTCCTCCCTCCCATCTATCCTCCCTTCTACAGATCTTCCTTCCTTCATCCATACACCTTCCTCCTTCCCTCCTTCCCTCCCTCCCTCCTCTCTTGGTCCTTGCTGGCTGTATGTTCCCTTGGCACATTCTCCAGGCCATTTTCCTTCCTATGAAACAGGCACAATGGTAAAACCCACCCTATGGAGTTGGTGGCTCCATATGGGGCTCAGGAGGAAATGATTTACAATACTTTCTAGACCTGAGCCTCTTGCCTGAATTAGAGTCTCGTCAACATCAGAGAGACCAGGGAAGGGAGAGTCTGAGTCTCATTTTGCAGAACAAGAAACTGAGGCAGAGAGTTCATGGATTGAGCTGGTGGCAAAGCTGCAGCTGAGACCGCTGCTCCTGCCCTCCCAGCTCCTGGCTGCTCCTTAGTGACCCACACTGGGTGTCAGGATGTTCTGGGGCAGTTGGGGTGTGCTGGGATTTGAAGGGAGTTCTGTGTCCTCCCCTAGGCACTCCTGGAATTCCTCACAAAGGTGATGGCTCAAGAAGAGTCCAACAAGGTGACTCTGGAAGATTTCCACAGTGATGGGACCCAATCTCTTCCTGCATCAAGGGCACCCCCACCAGGTTCCCCAAAGGTGAGAAACAGCTGGCAGAGGGGGCGGCTGAAGTGGTATGGATGATGTGTACCATCAGGATCTGCTCTGGAAGGTGAGTGCTTCTGGGTCTGCAGTGAGCAGAGGGAGGGTCACAGTGTCCATCCAGGGAGCCCTGAAGGCCCCTCCTCTGGGTGAGACACTTGCTCCCACTGCCGTCCATGGAATGGGTACCATCTTGTCCCTGCCCTAGCTATCTCTCCAACACCTTTGTAGGAATGAATGTATAGGACAGTATCTCCTTCTTCCCTTCCTCGTGTCTAGGAAGGGGCTGCACTTTCTGACTCCACAGCCACACCTCTCAGCCTGTTCACAGCCATCTGGTCTCCCCAAGCTCCCATAAAAAATCCTTTCACATCACAGCTCTAATGATGCCACGAGCTCAGGAACAGTAGCTCTGCCTAGGACAGTCAAAGCCAGATGACAAAGCTACCCTCTATGCCCATTGTGACCTTGGCCTCAAGTGACAGGGAATAACAAAGGGAGGCCAAGAGCAAAGAGAGACCCCTTTGTGATGTCAACAGCATACTGAAAGTCAAGGATGGGGCTGGAGCACTGAGAAGACCCTCCAGCTCTCAAACTCCCATAGATACAAGGCTGCATGCACCATCAACTCCCTCACTTAGAGACACGTGTGCTCTTCCACCTGCCTGTCCATTTAGCCTTGCATCGAGTCTCCTCTCTAGTCACCCACTCATCCACCCACCCACCACCACCCCATTCACTCATTATCATTCACATCTCTCCATCCATCTCCCACCCACCCCATTCAGCCATCATCTTTTGCCCATGTGCCCATCTGCCCAACCAGCCATCACCCACCCACTCGTCCACGAGTCTACCTACTCATTCACCACTGACTGATCCATCCATCTGTCCAGCTTACCTCTTATTCCTCCCTACACCCATAAGATCATTAGATGAGATGTCTTGTTACACACACCACAAGGAAACGTTCCTTCTCACCCCACCCTAACTCTCTTCTGTGTTCTAAACACACCAAGTGCCAGCTGCTTCTCCAAGTGCTCCTCACCTCTGAGTTGTTGCTTACCACCATCCCTCTCCTGGAGTTCCCTTCCCTTGTTCTGGAAGGCAGAAGTCCTCTGCTCATTCTTTCAGACCTACTTCAGGCATCAGCTCCTCTGTCAAAAACCCCCTACCCTTCCCATATCTTTGCACTCCAGTAATCTCACTTTCTCTACACTCAGCCCTGTGAGGTAATGTTGCTACTGAAATACATCATATTATAATTTTTTTATTGTAGTGAATTTTTAAAAATTAAGGATTTTAAGAAATTCCTAAATACTATATTTTTTGGAGACAGGATTATGTAGTTCAGACTGGCCTTGAACTCGTGGCAATCCTCCTGTCTCAGTCTCCCTGAGTCCTAGGATTATAGGCCTGCTACCATGTCCCACTAAATGCTATACTTTTATTTTTTTTTCCTCATTGAGTTTATTGGTACATTTTAGGTATACAGCACAGTTACAGTCATCATTGGGATCTTGTACCTTTACATAACAGGTCTTGGTTCTCATTTTTTCCCCATACTCCTTGTCAAATAAACGTTTCAGTGCCGGGGATTTAGCTCAGTGGCACCGTGCCCGCCTCTCAAGCACAAGGACCTGAATTCCATCCCTGGTACAGAAAAAAAAAATAAAGAAAAAAAATATAAACTAAACGTTTCAGACAGCACAGCTGTAAAGAAAAATAGCGGAAGTCCCCATGGTGCGCGCCTTCTTCACGTCATTTTGTTCCGCTGTGTGAGTGGCACTGTCAGTCCCTGGGGAACAGCTGGCTGTGGTCAGGGCCTGGAGTCTGGGATCTGACTGTCTGCAGGTCTCTGAGGAGCTCCCCAAGGCCCACTGCCCCCGAGTAGTCCAGGGGATACCCCTGTCCCACAAGGCGCCCCCCAGAAGCTTCAGATGGGCTTCGTTCTCAGAGTTGCCCTCCAAACCCCTCCTCAGAGGTTAAACGGCCCCTCCCTCCACCAAACAAGTGATCCAGTCCCACATAAATATTTCAACAAGTAAGTATTTCCAAGCCCCGCATGGAAGGATTCTCTGACAAGGAGAGGCCATGCTGGCCCTAGAGAGGCCTCCAGCACCCCACCTAAGACGTGGATCTTTCTCGCAGGGTCGCTTCTTTCTTGGTCACCCAGGTGCGAAAACTGAATGATAGTAGTGGCCGGCGCTCCCAGCTCTGCGACGGGGGCCTCACGATTTCGCCGCGGAGGAAACAAGTGGACAGAGACAAGGAAGGGCCGGCCTGGGCCCTGGAGGGTTTCCTACCCTGGATGGAGAAACTGTCCGAACCCTCCAGGTTCCCGCCACCAGCAATGCCCACTGCGACCACCAGGGAGCGCCCCGACCCCTTTGCAGAGGGCGAGGAGGCGGTGTCTCAGGAAGGAGGGAAAACCAGGCTGAAACTGGTACCCCACCCCCATTTTCAGGCAGCACTTCTGTAGGTGGGCGAGAGTGGGGAAACTGGGGGTCGCTTTGTGGAGCCCGGGTTAGCTGGGGAGAAGGGTAGTAGAAAGGAAGGGCTTTTAAAGAAATATGGGGTGTTCCGGGGAGGAGTCTTGAATACGGTTCCTGGGGGCAGGGCGGGACGGAGAAGTTGCCCAGGGTTGCGCCTGCACTGCGCATGTGCTTGCGGAGATGCTTTTTTGTTTTTTCTTTTTTTTTTTTTTGGTGCGGAGGATTGACCTTGGGTCCTTGAGCTTGCAAGGCAGGCCACGAACGGCCCAGCTAAGTCCCCAACCCCATGTGATGCTTTTATATAAACCTCCGGGTGTGCACCGCACGTAATCCTGTTGCTTGCTTGTATGAGTGTGAGCGTGTTGCGTTTGTGTGCACACACCGGGATTGTAATCATGCGGGCGCTATGCACATCCTGTGGTTTTTTGGCATGTTGGTGTCGGGGTGTGTGTGTGTGTGTGTGTGTGTGTCCTTATGCACACCTGTGTGAGTCCCGGACATGCACGAGTGCACTTGCGTGCATGGCTCTGTCTCTCCAGACTCAAAGGGACAATGCTCTAGGCTGCCAGGCCTAGGATGGACTCCCTGCGGGTACCTCTGACCCCCAACACTAAAGTGAGCTCTGCTGAGGCGGCCAGCGGAGCTGGAGCCGTGGTTTAAAGGTTGAAGACCCCGACAGCTCCCACCCAGGGTAAGGCCGCCTCTTAGAGGCTGGTGCAGCAGGGAATCTGCACCCTGAGACGAAGGCCTGGGGGTTACCCCGGTGCTGAACCTGCCTCTCAGCTTTCTCCTTCTGTGGTGGTCACAGTGGGTTCTCCAACCTCTCCAGGAACCTCCCGGGCTCCAAATAATAGTGATAGTGGCCACCATTTAATTCATTTGTTCATTTTAGGGGCATTTCTAATGAATGCCTACTCTAGGCAAGGCACCCTGTAGAATGCTAAAATAGTGAGAAGAACAGATAGAGGCCCTGGCTTTACCAGCTTACTGCCATACGGAAGAGACAGACAAAAATCAAATAGCCACAAAAATAAACACCAAGTTACAAACTGTATTAGGTTTTGTAGGAAATACAGGAAACAATGGGCATGTACAATAAGGTATCTGGTATAACCTGGGGAATGATATAAGGCTTCCAGGCACAGAAACCTGCATGTGCAAAGGTCCTGAGGTTACAAGGCACACAATGTGGCTAAACAGCTGAGAGCAAAAGGTCAGTGGGGCTATGGCTGGCCATTGTTCCAGATGCAGGAAGAAGCATGAGCCCTCAGAAGCTTCCTTTCTGGCATGGAGACTCTCAGATTGCCAGTCCTTAGCAAGTGCCAGTCCAGTTCCTTCTACAGATTGGATAACTAAGGCCCTGAGAAGGGGAAGGGGCTTGTCCAGACCCGCATAACAAATTAGGGGCAGATCTTGGAATTGAACTCAGGATCCCTATAACTACAATGATCACTATATGATCATTACAATTATCATACATAATAGCACAGTATCCATAATCTATCTTGACTCAGAGTCAGCCCCTCACAGCAGCCTCCCGTCCCCATCTGTCACGACTTTTGGGCCGTCTTTGAGGCCTCTATTCTGGTGCTTAGCAGCAGGTGGCCTTGTGGCAGGGAGTGCTCACGCTGCCTCGCACCACGTTTTGTCCAGCTGCCTCTGGGTGCCAGACCCCTCTTGTGATCCCAGCTCCCTCAGGCGGGTCCTTGTGCCTCTTCTCCCACCTGGGGCCCCGCATGAGTGAAGACCACCCTTGCGGCCTGACTGCCATAAGCAGTTGTTGGTCTTGCCACCTCCAGAAGAGGCCAACAGTATTGTTTCTTTCTCTCTGTCTTTGCAGCAACAAGTCCATGGAGTCAGCCAACTTCCTCATCTATGAAGTTGAGGGAATACCAGTAAGTTTCCCTGTGAGAAATGGCCCAGAGCCAAGGTCCCCCAGAGTTCTTTGAACGTAAAGGCTCATTGGACCCTTCTGGGGAGGTCAGAATCCAGTTGGGGATGTGCCTTCCCCTGGGCAGGGTTTTGTCCACAATTTCAACACCCAAGGAGAATAACAAACCAGTGCCTCGGTCAAGAGGAGTTGAGGTTTCTTCCAGGACCAGTTGCTTTGGAGGTGCCACCACAATTCCTAATGGGACCGACACCGTGACCCTGGGTGAACCCCTTGTCCTCTCTGAGTCCTTGAAAGGTAAGAATGAGAGCTGGGGCCCCAGGGACAGGGTCACTAGCCGTGAACAGCCAAGGGAACTGGACCAATGACAAACTTTCCTCTACAACTCTTACTGTGTGTCTTAAATGCTGGTCTGTCCCATCCTGTCACTTTGTAACACGATGCTTAAATTGCTTGAGCACTGACACTGAAGGCACAGCTAGCTAACTGACCCTTCACTTCATCCAAGTGTCCTTCTCCCCAGGCCACCTGCCGGGGGTGTGGTCTCTCCAGAGTTGGGTGGAGCTGGATGATAGACACGTGCTGGCCTCTACGGGGCGCTGCCCACACCTCCAACCTGCGGGAGTTGCTGTTATAACACAGTGATTCCAGATAAAGGCATCTACAGGCCTAAACTAATTCATTTAGCAGTGATCATTAATTCATTTAGTGGTGGTGACAACGCTGGTGGCACCAACCCTCCATGACCCCGATGCCTTTGCCTGCTGTCCCTATTGCCCTCGTATCCACTTGGAATCCACCAGGGCCCTTTCAAAATACACATTCAATCCTACTGCACACTCTCCGGCCTAAAAGCTGCTGGAGGGATCCCACCTGCCTTAAAACAACATCCCTGTGCCGCGGGTCTATCATCCCCATGCGCCTGACACCTCCTCCCCACACTTGCCCTTGCTCTCCTCAGCCACATCAGCCCCCTTTCTGCTCCCCACCTGTCTCACGTTTGCCCCTACTTTGGGGTTTGCACCTGCAGTTCTCACTGCACACCTGCTCCCACAACCAGCTGTTTCTACCTCAGGGTCTCAGCTCAGAAGTCCCTGCCTTCTCCAGGCTTCCTCTGACCACCCTATCTGAAGTCGCTTGCAACACTTCAGTTACATTTCTTCCCAGCTTTTATCACTCTCTCAAATTATCTCATTTAGGTCTCCCTGACTACGAGCAGCCCATGAAGGCAGAGACCACCTGAGGTTTCTCTCACTTTTGTGGGTATGACGGTAGCAGCAAGTGCTCAGTAAAGATTGGTTGGGTGAATGAATGAAAACGTGATTCCCTCTCTGTCCTTTTATTTATTTGCTCCAGAAGCTGTCGCTCTCTGTCCTCCTGATTGATATATGCAAATAGAAAAACACATCAGAAGTACCTACAGCAAGGGTTTATAATGCTCTCATTATTATTAATTATTGACAAGAGCCAGGCAGCTTGAGGGGTGACTAATGATATTTCCTTGCAACAGTTCCCAGCACCTGCACTGGTCCAATTGCACCCCTCCCTCCCTTCCTTGCTCCCTTCCTCCTTCCTTCCCTCCCAGGGGTGGGACGACAGGGGCTGTGTAAGGGGAGGGAAAGTCCTTTAACCTCTGCAGGAGGAAGGGCAGGTGCCCTGGAGGGTTCTGGGAACCCAAGCCCAGCTGAGCTAACTTCACACTCAGTGGCCCCAGCTATCAGTGAAAGAGCCCAGTTTAATCACGTGTCAGTTTCCCCATTCATCTTGGGTGCTATCTGAAGCTCATCTTTCCCACCCTGTAGCATTGTGGTGATTGATGATCCTGCAGCCGCCCCACCGCTGGGCTAGCACAGCTCACAGTGGGTGCCCAGCTTCTTCAGGCTCTTTGCAGTCTGCCTTGGCCTGGGCTGGGATGTGTTTGCTTAAGGAGCCCACAAGGAGATGAACTGTGTCATCCCCTGATTCCTGTGTTGACGCCCTAAGTCCCAAGGTGACTGTCTTTGGATATAGGGCCTATAGCAAGGTAATCCAGGTTAAACGAGGTCATAAAGAGTAGGACTCTGATCAGATAGGATCTGATCAGAGTAGGACTCTGATCGTGTCCTTTTATGAACAGGAAGAGACTCAATGGCTCTTCCTTCCCCACCCAGAGCACACAGGAAAGGCCACAGCTTGGAGGCAACCATCTCAGGTTAGGAAGAGAAACCACTGGAAAACAGATTATTGGGCATCTTGATGTTGGACTTCTAAATTCCAAAACTGTGAGAAAACAAATGACACAAACCTTGTTGCCTTCAGCTTCTAAAATAGAAGGAGGATGGGGATTTGCAGATGTCCTCGGCTGGAGGACAAAGGCAAAATTGACACTGGAGCGAAGGATGCGTCTCACCTGGTTCAGGTGCGTGCTTCCAGGGCGGATGCAGCATTAGCAGGGGCCACAGTGGACTGGACGGCAGCCCTGGGCTCCATTACCCCTGCGGGGCTGCGGGTAACTTGCCCAACTCTGTGCTCCTGGAGATCCGGGCTGCTGTTTCTAAGTCACAAAGAGGAGCCGAGGATGACACGAGGGAGCCAACAATCACCCAACCGTTGTGCAAAGTGACCACTGCACCCGGAACCCAGCCAGAGTGACAAAAAAGCCAGGGAAGCCCTCCTGTCGCCCACGGTCTAGAGTGCGAGAGAGGCGCTAACCTAGACTTGAAAAGACTCCGTGCTGTGGGCAAATGAAAGGCGAAGGAGAGGATGGGGCAGGGTCTCGGCACCCTCCAAAGTTGCCCCGTGCTGGGCACCAGAAGGCAAGTTTATTAAGGAAGTGAGGAGTGGGGGAGTGACGCGGGCAGAGAGGAGTCCAGGAAGGGGAGAGGAGGGTTACTGTGGGTAACCGGGCCCAGTGCTGCGGGGCCTTCCGGGAAACAGCGTAAGGTGCATCCGACCGGTGCCCTCGGAGGAGCAAAGGAAGCAGATGCCGGAGCATCGCCCGCCAGCGCCCACCTGTGTCTGGCCCAGGGCCTCCCCCGGGATGCTAACCCCCGACGGGACACATTCAATCTCACCACACGCTGTCAGACCGAACACCTTCCCGGGCTGGGGAAGACCTTGCACAGAGCATCCCATAGAAAGCCACTGACGTGACAGGAGCAATGGGTTTTTAGGAGGAGTGGGTGGGACAGATGTGACCTCCCTGAGAAGACATTTGAGCTGACCCTAAAATGGTGTGAAGGGGCCAGCCACGGGGAAGCTGGAAAAATAAATCTGCAGATAAAGGGACCTCAGCCAAATCTGTTGCGTGCATCAAGCAGGTCAGAGAGGTCAGTCTGTGCCGCCTGGGCTGAGCACTGGCTCAGGGTCTCGGGGAGTTTTCCTCCCACTCCACCCTCTGAGCCCACCTTCACTGGAGCCGGTGATTGGCTGTCCCGGGTAGGAGGCGGAGCCATTGGGGCCCAATCCAGGGAGGCCTGGGCCGTTCATTGGTCCCTGCGGAGGTAGAAGAGGTGGAGAAGAGGTGCCCCTTGGAGGAAGGAGAGGCGAGCCGGGCGGCCTGACCAATTCTGCTACCACTACCGTCCTTCTTCCCTAGTGCTGGAGGGGACAGCAGTGAGCCCTCCCTAGTCACACAGTGACAGGACTTACAACGCACAACAAAAACTTCTACTGAGTGACAGGCAGTGGCCAAGGCAATGGGACACTGACTCCACACAGACCTTCCTTTTGGAATCTGTAGTCCAGGGGAGGAGGGAGGTGTTAAATAAGTGGCCAGATTGCCGTGTACGGTAATTAACGCTTGTGATGAAAGGATAGAGGAGAAGGACAGGGAGCCACAAGCGCAGGAGGCACAGGACCGGAGCAGGTCTGGAGTAGACCGGAAGCCATCAACATGGAATTCTGCGCCCGCTCCAGGTTTGTCCGCAGCTCCCCTAAACACAGCGGGAGAAGTTCTTGCTGGGCTGCTTGAGTCTGGCTTGGAGCTCTCCCCGCCCCAGGCACGCTGATGTGTCTCCGGCATTCTTCAAGGCGTTCATAGCTGGCTCTCCTCTGCAGCCTTCTAAACGGAAAACCAGACGAGACCCTCCCATCCCGCAAACCGTCCCCAGCGCCTAGGGCACCGCCGTGAGGGTGGGATTCCTCAGGCAGCAGCTGCGGGCAGCGCAGCCCTGGCGCTGGTTCCCATGGCAGCTGGAGGGGGCTACCTGGAGCCAGGCTGTGGGCAGGGGACTCTCGAGGCTCCGTCCTTCTTGCCGGCCCCTCACACCTGCTGATCACAGAATATATGCAGTTGGAGCTTCCGGGGATCCCTAAGGGACGTCACCAACAGACTCGGGTTGGTGGGAGGCCTGCCTTGTTTTTCAGGCCTGGATGGAGAAGGGGTGAATGTTGCCGCTGCATGTTGCAAAGCCTTGGAACCGAGGCTGGGTGGTGGGAAGGAAAATGATTCCTGGCAAACCTACCCTGCTGACCTGGCCCCCAACCCCCAACCGGGGTGCCTCCTATGGAGCATTCCCCACCCCCATGGCAGCCACTTTGCATCCCGGCGGAGGGGAGCAGGAACCACTCGTCATTGTCCCTGAACGCAGGCTGGCAGGAGGCCCAGGGTGGGGGTGGGGGGCTCCCCAATAGGGAATCTGCAGCTGCCTGTCTTTAAGGTAAAATTACCGTAATTACCCCAATTACCAAATCCATCAAGAGCTTTGGACTGAGGAGGCTGAGAACAATCAGCCCTGATGGATCAGAGGAGTGTGAGTCACGGGGTCGGGGATAAAGTACCGTTTAGGGGAAGGGGGTGGGGGCGGCAGCTGATGTGCACCAGGCTCTTGATGGGTGGGGATGCGTAGGAAATGCAGGGAAACCATGATTAGCCAAGACCCTACTTTCCTCCTTTGGTGAGCTTTTTCTTCTTTGTGGCAAGGAAACAAAAATCTTCAAAACTCTGGCTTTTTCCCTCTCACAGAACCCTGTATTCTATAGCCACCTGTCTTGTCCTTTTTTTTTTTTTTTTTTTTTTTTTTTTTTTTTTTTTGTACCGGGGATCAAATTTGGG